TGTAGGCTTTTTTATATAAACTTCGTTACGTAACACACTTTTGTTCTTTTACAAATGGGAAAAACCATATTTATAAAATTAGTTTATCATTTTTCAAGACTGCCACAAATGCAGTCCGCTCTATATTTTATTCTCAATAACCCGTTACATATATTATATCAAAATAAGGCTGTAAAAAATTAATCGTAATAATATATCTTTAACATTTTAACAATCCATTACATATTACCAACTATACACTTCGCAATAGCCATGTTGGAACAGAGTCAGGCGGTACCAATATACAATAATTTTTACAAAAATATATTATAAATAAATATTTTTATAAAACAAAAATTGTGCTAATAATTACAACAATTATCTTATTAATAAATAATTAAACTAACGTTAATGTCGTTATAGTGTTAAGTTGAACTGTATTGACAAAATTAATTCAACAAAAATTAGTTCAATCAATTTAAAATTAAAATATACCATACATTCTTTTGTGTGTTTTTAAATGTCTTAATTGCATGTACGACATTGTTTCTCTATTCTTTTTTAACTATTGATCTACTAAAATTATTATGGTATACTTTAAGGAATAACGTTCACAACAAAGTGTAACATTAAAACTAAAGCTGGAGTTAGGTACGATGGGAATAGTTTTATTTCTGTGTTAATTGACAGATGACACTGGTATAAATTTGTGACTCTATTTCCACATTATCGCAGTCCTAAACAAACTATGTGCATAAGGATATAACTTTTTTCTAAGAAATGCCAGGCAATCGCCACGACAAGGCCTGCCTGTGCTCGGGCGAGTCAAAAATTGCATTTTAGAAGCTCAGTGCTACAAAAATAAACATATACAGGTTATGTATTTGTTCTAAATACTTTAGCTCAGCAAAGTTTGCCAAAATCTCAAGCGAATCTTACAGAAAAATAACACTCAAAATAAGGATACTTTGTATAATTTAAAAACAATATGTTAAATCGAAATAAAAAGAAAAGTAAAGTGCGAATCATACATTATAAAATTATGGCCGATGAATTAAGTAGCATATTATTGTTACAAAGTTATTAATATTACCTTATTTTGCTCGGACTTTAAATTTTGTTTTTCTGTTATAGGTTAATGTTCTTGTCAATAAACAAAACGATATTACACTTGGGGATTAGATCTTTTGGTCTTACAACAGCAAAATTAAACACTATTTCACCACAACACAACACACATAAACACTTTAGTTTTGCACTGGACGCGCGTTTTGCTAACCATGATAGCATCATCAGTAGATGTTTGAAACTGAAGTACGAGTTTACAATTCCTAAGAGGTTTTAATCCTCTGCTGATTATGCTATCATGGTTAGCAAAACGCGCGTCCGATGCAAAGGTAAAGTGATTTGGTGTATTATGGTTAATTAGTGCTCTATTTTGAAAATGCTATTCTTTCAAAGAACTTAAAAGTATTATTTCAAAAGCATTAAACCAAAAAGAACTATAGAAAATAAACAGTACTTAAAATAAAAACAGTTGAAACCCGAGAAAAGGCTTACTAAATTATATTAGTATAAATGTATACACAAAAAAATGCACAAATAGGTATATGTTAGAGGTTAATTTAAAATAATTTAACTGTCTTATTTTTGCAAGATTGGTTCGATCTATATGTAAATTGAAAGGACAACTTGCTTAAGTAATAGAATAATAGAAAACCTGTATATTATCGATATTAATTTATTAGTTTCCAAGGGTTTACTAATTAATACGTTATAGTTTTATTTACAGTATACACCATCTATTTAATGTTTATTACACGCTTCGTAATATAAAACTTTTTACAGTGTTTATATAATAACGACCAAGTTGAAAATGAAAGGTTTGTGCGCTTTATTGAAAATAAAAACGGTTTCAAATGGGCATTAAAATTGTCGAGGACTAATATCATATATTACTTTGGAGTATTGCTTTGAAAGTTTAATAATTATAGTTTTAATTATTTTTTTCTTTTAAGTTTTTTTCTTTTAATTATTTTTATTTTTTATAAAATTTCTATTATATCTTTAAAATGTATAAAGATATTCTATTACATTTTGTTATATTAAATCGTTAGTAGGGTAGCTAATTAAGTATTTTAATGGTAGGTAACATTTATTTTCAAATTTTAATGCACATTTTCAACTCGAATTAAACTTTTGGTCGCGTAAAACAACGATAACGGTAAAATACTGATCAAGTGAGAATTAAAATTACGTAGTTGAATTCATTTGAACACATTTATCTTGATAAGAATTTGGTGAGCCATTTTTCTCAATATTAGGGGAGTTCGTGACTGGTATTTGATATTTTTAAATTCTTCAATATTTGCTTTCGCTCATTTTATCTCTTTTCAAAGATAAAGAAGAGTATTTTTTATTTTAAAAGTTTCATATCGAGTTCAGTAATTTAAAATAAGAAGAATTTAAAAAATAAGTATGTTATATGTAATGTACGTTATGCATTATGCGGTCTTTTGAGATCATTTTGTAATTAGTGTATTATAAACATGGAAAATACTTGTAAAATATTAACTAAATACCAAATAGATGCAACAGGATATTTAACATTTTTCATATTTTTTTATTATTATATTTAATATTAAAATTAATTGTATAATTTATCAAACAATTTTAATATCAAAATATAAATATGTGAATCAGAAATTCCGACCTTTATAACTAAATCAATGGTAAAAGTATATTCTTTCGATTGATTAAAATTGAATTGTATTTATATTCTATTATATAGAAGTTTGAAGAATTTCCTACAATTTCATTTTGTGGCACACTACACTGCCTAGCTCTTCGTTAGTTACGCCGCTGGCGAAATATCAACTTTCAATTTTAAGATGATAGTTGGTTCATACTTCAGATATAGGTCGTACTAATTTATTCTTGAGATTAGCCCTAAGAATTTAACCTTAATAATTTAAGGAAATGTTGTTTATAATCTTTTAGTTCTTGTCTTAAGAATATTTTAGTTTGTGTTTGCGCTTATACAAGGTGAGTCTTAAATAAGTGCAAATATTTTCAAAACATAAAAGAAACATATTTTCTCTTTACTGTTTTTTAAAGAAGTCTAAGATAACAGAGTTATTTTACTTTGAAAATTAAAAAAAAATATATATATGGCTCATATTTTGAAAACCACTAGATTTTTTCTGTTTTCTTTTTTTTAAACAAATAATTTTTTTATTTTATTTAAAATATCAAATTCTCCAAAAAATGACTTTTTTGAGGTCGAATTATAACACCCCTAAAATATTTGTACTTGTTTAAAACTTGCCGCTAAAATATGTAATTAATAACTACTAGACCAATGAATAGATATGGGTAAAAGCATTAATTTTAAGGACATAAAATATCCCATATTTCTAGGAATTGCAAGGCCAGCTCGCATTCGTTTACGTTGAAGATATTTTTAGGATATTAGGATTAATACTAGGAATGTAAAGATTACGATCTGAAGTATGAAACAACTATGAGACAATCCAAATGAGACGTACACTTTTATTGACTCGGGCCTTAAAAACGTTATCAAATTTAGTCATATTTGATTCTATGAAAAATAAATGTTAAAAATCCGTGCGGGTTAACCCTTAACGACTACAGAGTGATCTGTCAAACACCTTGAGCTAAACATTCCTCTATACTTCGCAAAGCCTGCAATTTTAGTAATGAAGATGCTTATACGAGTACTTTTAAGTCAATAGGCTTTCGATAAATTAATAAGCTAATAAACTCATTACTGTAGGGAGTGTTGATTTATTGAATATAAAAATTCGAGAGGCTGTGTATTTCTTTCGTAAGGTTTTTGTTATTGATTTGTTTGTTTCGAGACATATTAAAATTAAGTTAAGTTTGTTTGTTCTAGTTTACCATTAATACATATTAAAAAAAATGTCTTGATGGTCAATGACATTTTTTTCAAATGCTTTGAAAATTGGAAATATGGATTTTCTTAAATATCTGGCCAGAGCTATTACAAATCCAATGAAGTAAAACCAATCAACCAAAAAATACAAAGAAAACTAAGATTTAGCTCAAATATTGAAAGACACGATGCACTAACAGTTGAGAAATGAGACTAGAAATGAGAAATCTTTGCTCTAGGTGCCCTTATAAAATAAAAATAAAAATTCAGTACCTCTGTACAGTTTGGTTTGGTTTGGTAAAAAAACATTCGTCTACAGTGCTCAAAAAAACAGCTGCGAGGACAAAATGTGAGTTAATATTACTTTGTTATGTTTACCACGTAATTTTTTAAATATCGTTTGATTGCTGAGTCATAATTCTTTCTGTCATCTGTATACCGATTTGATTATTTTAGAAGTGTAGGTCTGGATTTTAATGTGTAAAACAGAGAATAATATAAATGACCGGTTGACAGAGAGACAAAATCAAAGGCAAGTGGCATACAGTGTTGCAGGTTTTTACGTTTGTAGGAACATTTGTGTAGAAAAAAAATGAACTATTTTAAAAACTCTCATGTATACTACTGAAATGAAGATAATATATCTAAGCTAAATATAATCTATCTATTACATCTGCAGTAAAATGAGTAACTAATTGTGAAAAATAAGGTTCCAGCCTTAGATGCAACATTTTCCATAAACGCCTACTTGTGCAGTTTTAATTGTACTTTTGTGCTAAGGGCGTAAAATGCTTTACTTTTATACCTAGGCGTTAAAATAACGTTTTTATCATGTCGGAAAAATTAATACTTTTTAAAATTTAATTTTCTATTAAATTATATAATTTAATAAGAGGTATCTACCAGACCAACTCTGTAGCGACTAAAGGAAATTTATTCAGTATAGCCGTTGAGGGTTAAATAGACGAGACAGTAAGAATCGACAAAACAATTGAGCAATTGCCGTCACGCAACTCTTCCTTGAGCAAATACCGCGCCGGGTGGGCACAGGCAGGCCTCGCGCCTGGCTCGAACACATAATAACATCATTATCATCATCGTCATAACCACGTCGCCAGATCGCCGATGACTCATCGGGTCTTGGATCGACGTCCAACCTAGAGCGGTGCTACTAAGACGCGCCGGTCTTCCGTTGTTCCTCTATCAGCACCTCGGTACTGTCCGGTCACTGTCAACGGAACCGACGCAATTGGTTAAGTCCACGCGGCGCGCGCCACTCAGACGCAGCGTCAGTAATAAGAACAAGGTCCACCACCACCACATCCACTGGGACACTGCAGGACCGATGACGTGAGTCCTAGAGCCGGACGTGGCTGCTGCTGCTGCTGCTGGGGAAGGTTGTGCTGCAGGGGCGGCGTTGGGCGGCCTGCCGGGGCAGTGCTCGCATGTGTCGGGCGTTCCCCCCCGGCCGGGTGCGCCGCAGTGCGTGTAACAACAGTCTTCGTCTCCCGTCGTCGAGTTCAGCCTCTCCTCCAGTCTGGGAATGTTGGGATCTGAAATGCATTGTGCATGATCAATTACTACCAATTATTTTTTTAATATTGAAAATAAAATATTAGAGGTGGACAAAACTGTTATTGGAAGTTGGTTCAGTATCAAAAAATAAAACCTTAAACTAGAGATGGGTTGTTATTTAATTATCTGTTATTTTATAACAGTTATTTAGAAATAACATAACGAAACTGCTACTTCTAAAAAATAACAGATATAAAATAACGACATGCAAAAATCGACCGCTCGCGCTCTGCATCTCCATGAAATTTTATATGGCTCGAAGCCATTCCAAAAAATAACTAGTATGAAAAATCTCAGTTATTTCGACAACCATCGATAAAGGACGGCAGTCGAGATACAGCGCAGTGGGGAATGTGCTACGGCAAACGTTGCCGCATCGGTTAATGGTCGTGTTGAGCTCGTAACAGCTTAAAAATAACAGTATATAAAATAAGCAGCTTTTTTTAACAAGTTGCGAGCATAATACGTGGCGGTTGAGATAACAGGATATCGATGTTTTTAGTCTCGTAACGGGTTGGAGAATATCGTATAGAAAAAAAGCAGTTAATTTAGATACGTTGTTTTTTAACCTGTTGCGAGCATATCGGATCGTATTTTTTAGAATGAATTTTTTTGAGCATTGTAAATAAAAATAATTACTCGTATTAATTATAACTGAATTAAAGAAAATTGCTTTGATTAAGCTTCTATTATTAGAATTGTTTTGAGCAAGTTTATTTTACTAATTTGCTTTCTAAAAACTTATTTTTATATTTTATTTATTTACATTTTAAAGTTTTTGTTTTGCAAGTTATTACTTAGTTGTTAGGTTTCAGTTACTTAGTTAATTTTATTAATATTTTTAAATATATGTACTTTCATTGTTCTTACTACGTTTTAAAAACTTGTCAAAGACAATTTTACTTGCCTATCAGCAATAACGATATCAAGAAATTGTGAATGGTGATAAGAAATTTAGTGATTAAATGAATTAGAATCTTGGGTTTTAGAAATATTAAGTGCTTTTCAAGAATGCTAAGAATTATTTTTCATGTGGAAAGTTAATAATGTGCTAAGTTAATAATGTACTAACAACTAAGTGCTAATAATTTGGACAATGTGTATGCTCTTTTAGATGTTTAAGATTAAAGTAAAAAAATAACTGTTATTTTAAGTTGTTATATATAACAACAGCAAGTTCATTTCGCTCTTAAAAATTATCCAAGTGGTGTGTTGACATGAGTCGAAAAAGAAAATACTCAGGAGAGATGGTTTTTTTAAAATTAGGGTAGAAATCAACCCTTCAATTAACCCTGTATAATAAGCCAAATGCTAAAGTTTATAAAAAACTGAGTTTATAAATTAAAGTTGATAGATTTATATATAGATTGCTAAAAAATCATGAAAATAGAGATAAAAGTAAAAAAAATATAACACTTTGAACTTGACGAAAACATTTTCCATTGCGGTTTTTTGTATCTGAGTGTATAAATCCGTCATGCATCGTCTCTTGTTGTTTTTAACTAGTCATAGGTTTATTTTAAAAATGACAGCATATTTAAATACGATTGGAGTGATGGAATGATAAACGACGCACAGACACAGACGTGTATGAACCATAGACTAATGTCACGTACGTATGAACCCGACTTAAGATTCTTGAAACTTCTGTCAATCTCTTGTCAAATTAAAGCTTATTATTTATGTCAAATTATGTCAAATAACCAGCGTTTTGAAAAATGAGAAATATTTGCGATGTTGCTTTTGTACTTTGGTTTGTGTTATTACGTGTGTTTTGTGTTTTTCAAAGTTAAGTGCGGAGGAAAAATCAAGGAAATAGTAAGCCAAAGAGTTGTAGTAACCATCAATAAAGTTTGTATACCATCTCGTATATGGTACTTAAAACTGGAGTAGCTGTAAAATAATGACATCGCACAATAGCTAAATTATAATAGCTTTTAGTACTGTCGGGAGATATGGTCTGGTTTAGTAAAGGTGGTAAATTTCCTAAAAGTTTGAAAGTATCCTTTAATAAAGTTTCTTTTATAAATTTTACGTATGTGTTATCTCACATTATCGATACCTATTATTATAAAGATAAAAAAAACAAAGATTAATTATGGGTTAAAAATTGGCTCAACGGAAAAAAATCAAGCTGCTCTGTGATTTACTTGTAGCATCATATAATCATTGTTAATTTATCAGTGTTCTATAGGTAATACTAATAACTTGAGATTACAAGAGCTGATTGTCTTGTAAATACGTATTCAATCTTCGCTATACAAATTAACAATATCCAATGTGCATGTTCCAATAGCAGGGAGACTTGTGGCAATTAGTTTAGTAGTCCAGTGTGATATGCATTAGTTATCTTTACGTGCTATAAATTTAAGTAATTTATTTCTTATAATATTTTTTTTCTGCTATTGCTTTAATCGATTGTCAATATTCAGACTATATTATACATATAGTCTAAGATCCGGCTATAGGATTATTACGCTCATCATATTATTAATCAAAAACAAATTTTTACGTATATTTAGGAATAGGGGAATACACTTTTAATAGGGTGCCAATCAAAAAGTTGTCGCAAATAGGGGTTGCGACGGTTCAAAGTTTTTCCTACTACTTTATATGTGTCCCGAAACAATACATCGGGCATCTGTAGATCCTATAATAAAAAAATTAGGAATTTTGGATTAAGTGCAAATCTTAAGTATGTATTAGGATGTATTTCAGGAAAATATTTTAACTTTTACAGGGTGGCTCAAATTGGTGTGGATCGGGATGATTTTTTTAAACAAAAGAAGCTGTATATTATTGCATTTTTGGCTTCCTTTCTGATCACTTTACATAATCCTAAGATATTATTAAATATGTTTTGATAGTTTCAGAAATATATTATTATTAATAAATAATTATACACTCACCGGCAAAAAAAAACGGCCACTAAAATCTAGTCCCAATTTCAAAGGATTTCTCGCGAACCACTCATTAGATTTTTATTATTTTTTTTTAAATTGTAAATTAATTCCTTCTTAACGGATACTACGTCAAACATTTTTATTCCGAATTTATTTTCAGCATATACAGGGCACAACAATAAGACGAAGTTTTTTGCCCAAACTTTGTAACACCCTGTAGTATCTATTGCTAAATCAAATCACATTGTAGCCTCATATTTTGTGAGCATTTTGTTTTTTTAATCACGACATTATCTCTGTTTGTATTGGAGATAGGCTGCTTTAAAACAAACGCCTCCAAAAAAAGCTTTAAAAACATATCAAACAAACATCAGAACGTAGGTAAGTTTAATCTGAAAACTAACTAAAACATCACAATTAAAAAAATGTAAAGAAATTTTAAGGGACTAATATCTAGTGTAGCTTCCTCGCTTCAAAATCGCTTCATTTAGTCGACGTGGCATTGAATCAATCAGGTTTGTTACAAATTCTTGTGGATGGCATCAAATTCTTCCTGAAGTGCAATTCGCAGATCTTGAAGGCTGTCGGGTAAAACAAGTCGACGACGAATGCGCCTTTGAAGTTGGTCCCACAGATGTTCAATGGGGTTGAAGTCAGGATTGCGAGCTGGCCAAACCATTCGTTCAATACCCACTTCGTCCAAATATTCGCTAACTACTAATGCTACGTGTGGTCGCGCATTATCTTAATTAAAGCCACAAAACGAGCAATATCCGTCACAAATAATGGCAGTTTCTAATTTGACAATCTTTGTTGTCATATTGCAAATACTCATAAATTCGTTTTTGCCTATGTCGCCTTGATTATCTACACATGAAACTTTCTGCCTGCGAAACATTTTTCCGAGACGTTTGTTTTAAAGCAGCGTATCTCCAATACAAACAGAGATAACGTCGTGATTAAAAAAACAAAGTGTTCACAAAAGGTGAGGCTACAATGTGATTTGATTTAGCATTAGCTACTACAGCTGCTACACCTACAGGGTGTTATAAAGTTCGGGCAAAAAACTTCGTCACGCCTTAGATTGAGACGCAATTGCATTTTTAATCGAACATCTCTCAATTGTTCCAATGTTTTAAATAAAAATCAGACGGCTTAACCGCTCCAAGAGAGCCCTCTTATTTGTGATTGACTGGTCAGCGATGCTTCACGTTGGAGTTTTCAATGCATCCCACAAGCTAATTTTTTGTGAATGTAGTTTTTTATGAAGGCCTCTTGTACCACGTTGATGTCCTGAGGAAGGAATGTATAAATTTCGAAAGCTTGACAATTAACAAAGTGTATTAATTCTATTTTAAACCCTTTCGACAGCAACCCCACTAGTTCCTAGATTTTATTTCTCACTAGTCAGTCGATACTACTGTCTGCTTCCTAGGTATTTACTATAGTTGGTTTGTATTTATTTTGTTATAAATATCGTAATCTGAAACAATACAGGGTGTTCAAAATTCTACGCCAAACTTTCTAGACTATAAAATAATTTTTCTTCGTTTTTTTTTTCAACGGAACACCCTGTTCTTATTTCTTTGTTAGATGGGAAATTAAAAAATGAAAATTTTTTGTATTTAAAACACTTTAGAAATTTTAGCGGTTCTATTTATTGCTACTATTTTACAAAACAACATATTTTTAGGATATGGACCTTTGCAAACCATGCACAATCTGTATAAAACCCTGTATATATAGCTTATATTTGTCATTGATAAAGAAAATCCTTTTTTAGAGCCTAGTTTAAAATACGTTTAGGAGAAAGACGACACAGAATATATTGATAAATAATGTAACGATGCCTACGGGAACTCTTTTTTGAATAAGGCAATTTTACGGGCGTCGTAGGGTCTTTTGCGGGTTTTAAAAATTCATGCGGTTTGAATTTTTCACGCCATCCTTCACAGCTCCAGGAATATGTTATTGAGATAATCATTTAAATTTTTATTTAAATCCAATAGTGTAAAAAATAGACGTTTAATTTGATTTGATTGGAAAAAAGGATTATATTTTAGAAATAATGTCCT